TTGAATGAGAATGGAGTTGAGAGAGACACAGAATATAATTCAGTTAACACACCAATTTACAACAATTGCCTGGCCTTTAGAGATGCTGAGAACTTACATTGTTTTATTGGCTACAGGTCTAGTAGAAGTGTTCTGAGAACTAGGCCTGGAAACTTCACCTGCGGCTTAGATCAAGACCAGCTGTGCCAAAAGACGTTTGAGGGGAGCGTTTAGTCATTTTTAAATGCAGTGTTCAAGCACAGTTCTGGGAGCCACAGAAATAAGGCTGCCTAGGGGCTCCAGCAGGTCTTTCTAGCTGGGCTCATTTGTATTAGAGTGAGAATATTTGCCTTTCACTCAGGAAAGAGACTCAGTTTTGGTCTTTTCTCCCTGTATACACACTTTCACCAAAAGCCTAGAGACTTGATAGCTCTGAGATTGAGTTACAGGCTGACTTACGGTAAACCGGCAGAGTTATTGGAGGGGAGAAGGGGAGGAAAGCGATGACTGTACGGAGACACCCTAAGTCTGCAAGTGCCCAAAAAAGATACAGAAACGGAAGGAGCACGAGAGGAGGATGGGAGTAGAAGGCATTCCATGTTCAGCAGTGCCGCAGACAGTCCCACTGCTGGGAGGTGCCAGGAAAGGACAAGGACTGAAAGTTGCTGGCATGCGATGACTGGGCCGGGCTTAGTTCTCAGACCCACGAACACTGTCTGATTGCCCTGATCAGGTGCTGGCTGCAACCCAGTTGGGTGGGAGGAATTCAAGGGGGCAAAAAAAATCCCAAAGCAGGCATATTGTTGTTTAAGGTAAGTGAACAGTAAGTGCATTCAGCATTAATACAGCCCAAGAGCCATCGAAACACTTAGCAAAGCAGGTGATAATTATGGACAGTTGCTTCCTTAATTGCAGGTTTGCAGAGTGCTCCTCTAATCTAATATATTTAAATTACGACTTTTCAGGTGCAGACCAAGCCTCAGTGACGGCCCGCAGCCACATTCAGCTGGTGAAATCGCAGGTGCAAGACGTGCGGCAGCTGTGCCAGAAGGCAGAGACCAAGTTAGCTGAAGCTCAAACAGAAGAGCTCATCAAAGCTCAAGGAGAGGAATCTTCATTGCCGCAGGGTGTTTTAGGAAGCACAGAGGCGGGCGAGGACCCGTACCTTCGGGAGGACTGAAAAGAACTTAAGTCTCACCGTGGAAGATGTGAGAGTCAATCACAAATTGAACACTTCCAAACTTTCAAGTGTGGGATAGTGGGAAACTGCTGAGCTGGGCTTCTGATTCTATTTTTTTCCCCCAAACAGGATTGCTTTACAAATCAAGTCAGTTCCACAGATCTGAAAGGCCTTGATCTTGTTTGTAACTTACCATGTTTGTAATACTTAGGGATTCAGTTATTTAAGTGTTTAACTATGCAAATGTGAAAATTGCTATCAAGGATAGCTTGTTGTTAATTGTCTCTCTGCTGGGAGGGTCCTACTGCTCGTTTGATATCTTTGTGAGAGCTCTCTTAATTTAGAGGCTAACTAGGTACCAGCCAAAGAAGTGTATGTAAGAGTCATTATTTTTACCCTGTGAAGTAAATGATGTCTGTTAGGAGATGCCACGAGATACTTTTGCACAGTTTAATAAAGGTGAGTGTGCCCATTTGGATAAGAGATTAAGTGCTGTTTTCTCTTTGGACTTAAAAGTTTATAACAGCTCATCAAATTACACTTAAATGCAGTCAGGGGAAACTTTTGCTGTAGAGCTGAAAACTTTCCATGGAGTTACCCGGGCTCTTCTTAGCGAAGTTTTGCAGTTCACTACAGCAACCTCTTTCCCCCAAGAGTCACCAACTGTAACACGTCCCCAGGAAGCCGAGGGAGATTTGCTGTTCAAGATCCTGTGGTTATAAACAAAGTTGTTGTGGCAACTGCTGCATCCTTTACAAAGCAGTGAGCAACAGCAAGTTTTAGATTTTTGAATGCTTTCCAGCACAAGTTGCAGGAAAATAATCTCAATTCTCTCTTTTTGCAAGCTTCGTGTTTCACTGCAGGCTTCAAAACCACAGGTGTCTTTCACTCTGTTCACTTTCTGACTTGACAGCTTAATGTGAAATTTGAAAAATTAACTGTATAGAGAATGTAAACTGATGCTGAGATTGCTTTGTAGAGTAGTATCCACTAGAACTTTATCACTGCTGATCTGAGTCAGTTAATCCCCATTCATCAGGTTTTGTAAGAAAACACACGTTAATCATAGGTTTTTCACCACAAATTAGCATCTGATGCACTACATCTGCCTCGAGGTTGCTGTTACTAAGCTGAGCTGTGCTTGGCTAGTGATTTTTTCAGCTGTAGCCTTGCTATCTCTGCCTCATTTTGCCTGCCTTCTGAACAAATGCAATCTGATCTGCACAGCACTGTACATTTGCAGATTAAATAGGAAAGAAAGCAACAAACCACTTTTCCTTGCTCCTGCTCCTCACTGGGTGCTGCTGCATCTGAGGAGGATGGCGCAGTCCGGAATTCAGGCTCCCAGGAAGATGCCAGCGTCTGCTGCGCCAGTAGTCAGGAGGTCCCGAACACAGCTTGGGGCTGGAGCATTAGCAAAAACCCCCACTATTGTGAGAGGATTATTTGCAACAGTGGCACAACCACACCCTCAAGAGCCAAACGCAGCTTCAGGTCAGCCTCAAACCACGACTGCTCTAATTTCTTACACGCTGCAGTTGAAGAACATCCGCCAAGGCACTGACCCAAATGCACGTAAAGGCTGCGTTCCTTTCAGGACACCACAGTAACTCCACTCGCGAGGCAGAGATACGGCTCCAGACGGATGAGCGCTGCCTCGGGAGTCTGCAGAGCAGCCCCTTCTTCCCCTTTCAGAGCCTGCTCGCAGTCCCCTCGCTGCCCCACTTCTGGTTTCACGGTGTGCTCTGCTCTTGCTTCCCAAGGCGCAGCTGTACCCACACACCCCCAACCCGCAGACGTGACAGGAGCCACCTAGTCAGTCAAGTCAAAGAGAGCGTGAGGAGCGTGAGTGGCTCCACATTGCCTCCAAAATGGGGTGGAAAAGAGTCCCACACCTCTACTGGGAAGTGAGAGTTGCCTGTCGGGGTTAGCCCATATACCTAAGCCCGCAACACACGTGACATCACGCTTAACGTGATGTTACTGAGTTTGCATTTGGAATCATCTAGTGGATCAGGAAAAATGCTGCCACAGCAGTCCGCAGGGTGCCATGGTGCCCGCTCTGTCCCGTCTCTTCTCGGGAGCAAGCAGCGGTGCCCAGAAACCAGGTTTTGCTGCTGATAGCCAGGCTCGTTTACAAAGCCAACATACCCCAAACTACGCGTCGACAAGTTCTTAGGTACAGCTAACACTGCTCATTCGTGCCTGTTCGGGCTGCAGTGAGGAGACACAGTAGCAGCTCATGCAAAACCACGTGGAGGATGGGCACACACACACACACAGAAGCTCACCCCTTGGAAGAGCAGTTTTTTCAAACGCCTACTTGCATCTGGCACAGAAATAGCTCGTGTGAGAGCAATCAGAGTCTGGGTCACGCCGTAGCACTAAGCTGGAACTACACCCGGTGCTTCAGAAAGCCAAGGCAGCAAGGGCCATGGTGACCCGAGGCCCAGCAGCGCTGCGGGGAGTCCCTCGGCTGAGGGTCCAGCACTGCACCCACTGGAAGGCAGGGCAGCCAGCCTCACACCTCTGGCTCGGGTGCCCGCGGTCCCTCTGTCTGCAGGACAAGCACCTCTGGGAGCACTTCCCAGGCATCTCCGAAAGCTCCAGCTCACGTCTGGTGGGCGATGAACGCCGAGCAGCTGGCACTAGAGACAGCAATGACAACAGCATGACACAAAGTGCTCTGATTCTGTAATCACATGCTTCCTCTCGACCCGCTACTTTTTTCTAAAGCTTCCAGGCTGCTTCCTGCTCACAGACAGCACAGCAGCTTCTGATCTAGCAGCAAGGCACCCTGAAGCTGAAAAGCTTCAGAAAAGTATCACCAAATCTTAGTTTCATATTTGATCCTTCCTCAAATCAGCGACACCAGCGCACTCATAGATTAATCGCTTCTCTATCAACACATCTTGTCTGGACGGGGCAGAGAACAGCAGCCGCTCACAGCAAAGGAAGTGGCAAGTTTCCATTGCCCCATAACCTTCTCCTCTTCAAAGTCAGTGACTCCCCAACACAAATGCCCAGCACCAGCTCTCAGCCTTCTCACGCTTTTAGTGCTCTTAGCTTTCAGGAGACCCAAGAATACTCCTGCGAAAACACTTTTCAAAACTGTATTTTATTTATATCAACATTACAACAACACCACCACCCCCCCCAAACGCCTCCCACACAACATGAAAAGCTACAGCCAGTGTAACTACCACCATGATTAGTCAAAGACGTATCGCTCCTCTCAAACCCACGCAGAAAGTGTTTGTGCAAAAGCTTCCAGTGCAAATAAACCTGTAATAAACTTCTGTAAAATCCAAATGGCCTGAGTCGGAGCCCAGTCCCTGGGATCACCTTGCTGCGTTAAGGCAATACATTTTTGAGGCTTTTATTTTCCCCACTCCCTTTCGCCTGCTGTCGGGCAGGAGCTATGGGATTGCTGGCCTGGGACAGTGGGGCTGCGCTGCAGTGGATGCAGCAGCACACAACGGCCCTTCTTCCACACTTTCAAGTAATTTCAAGTGCTCCAGCCCCGGTGCTGCGGAGCCTCCATAGCAGGTAGCCCCTCACTCACGTCCCTGCGGCCGTTGTGACTTCCCCTGGCTCCGGCCTGGCTGGAGGAACCGAGACGGGTCCCCTGTGCCGTGTCTCACCACGCCACCGGCCCCATCCCCATCCCATGACAATTCCACTGCTTCAGTAACCCTCCGATGGAAAAAAAACTTACTGCAGAACAAGCCCCTGCGGCTCCAACACAGTCTGTTAGTAGAGGACGCGTTTCTACCACCACTTGATTTTGAGGTTAATACCACGTATGTCTCACCGGTCACAATCCCTCTGCGCTCATCAGTCAGTAGCTTCTCTTCCGAGCCCTCCTGTAGCTGTGCGTTACTGACACCGCGCACCTAATGCTGTCATCCTTTACCAGCGTCCACATGATCCACATCTCGGTTGGGTTTAGTCTGTGCACAATCATCAGCTCTTTGTACAAGCATGGATCAAAAGGATTGAAAGGTCTCTGGATCCCAAAAGTCTTAAAGCCAGCGTGGTTCTTTGGAGCCAGCGCCATCTTTGCCAGACACATTCCCACAAAGACATCATCTATGGGGAAGAGCTCCGTGTCCTCTGCGGTGCTCTGGAGGCGGCGCACTGTCTCTCTGGACATCACATAGCCCCCTCCACCCGCGTAGAGAGGGTAGAAAGGGGCTCTGTACATGGACTCTGGAATAAAGTATTTGACCTTGGTGTTCCTGATGGGCCGGGCGTTGGTGATCACATCCCCAACAAAGAGATCTTGTTCAGGGTCCAGCTCTTGGAGGAACTCAACAATGTTGTAAGTGTTGACAAAGACATCATCATCGCCCTTCAGCACGAACCTGGCAGGCAGGCAGTCCTCCACGAACCAGCGGAGGAAATGCAGCTCCTTGAGGGTCAAGTTGAAGAAGTTGTCAACAAAATCCCACTGCAAGATGTCATCAAACTCCCGGCTCTCGTAAGCCAGCAGCTGGTGCAGGGGCTGTACCTGGATATTGGCCTCTGAGCGCCCTAGAAGGAACACCAGCCTGATGCGCTTGCCACCGATGGAGACCTCCTTCCCCCACGTGTTCCTGATTGCCACCCGACGGTCTATGTTGATCGGTGAAGATTTGACGGCCAGCAAGAGGAAGGTCTCCTTGCTACACCTGGAAGGCTTCAG